CTTTCCCTTACACCCAAGACGGGGCTGAAGAGATGAAACGGGGCGGCACATGACGAACTCCAGTGTCACTCGCAAGGGGCATCAGAACCTTCTGGTCAAACGGCACTGCAGGAAGGCTCTCCCTAGGAGTACAGCAACCAGGGAACACCGGCAGATGAGAAAGCTGCCCACGGTCAAGGCTGGCATCCCACTGATAAAGGGAAGCAGTCCTTGGAGATCAGGGCTTAATGTCACCAAATCTTAACAAATTGGGCGGGAAGAGTCTAGCTCTATGAAAAACACAGACGGATACAGGCGATTTTCTGTTAGATGCGCTGCGGTTTCAAAAAAAAAACTTTCCCTGTCCTCTTAGAAAAAAGTGAAGAGTAAAACCAAATTTAATAATAATCCATGTAAGTGAAAATCTTAAAACCAAAATTTGAGTGGTAGTCACACTGACCGGCATTAAATGAGCCACGATAAGTAATATTACACAGAAACACACATGCGGCTTCTAGTTACGAAAGCACTCATTCTACTCACCCTATCGCGACGACTTGCTATTTCTGCTTTAATTTGGTATGGGTCGTACTTTGTATTTGCTGAATATCCAGAGAAGGCTAAAAAGACGGAAAATATTTTATTTTATAATGGATCCTTTAACATAAGGCAATACACATAGACAGGAACTTGTGAATCAATAATCAATTCTAAGTCTCTTGTCAATAATCAGTTTACAAGTCAGCACCGGCTCCTAAGGAATTAACATTTCACATCCTCAAATCTCGATGTTGGATTTCTGCCTGAGGCCTTCCTACGTGATTCCACATGAGAAAAATCCACGGCTGTCGGTAAAACAAAACTCTTTGTTCACTTCCACTGTAAAATTACTAGGGTTAAAAACCACAGATACACTCGGCAGGCGGGGGTGGGGTGGGGGGTTGTGGTCTGGAAAACTGTTCTCACTATGGAAATAGTACACGCGGTATGAATCCATTCCGGGGTCCAAACTCCTGGCAAGGCTTGCGGCATCGTGAGTGCGCAGGGCCCACACGTGGGGGTGAGCGCGAGCCGGAGGGCTACCGAGCTGTGTGCCGGGCACAGCGGACCAACTGCTGGTGGCGCGGCCAGCGAGGAGCCCGTGCCGGCGAGCCGGCTGCTCAGGTGGTGAGTGGCTGCGTCTTGTGGCTAGCGCCCCCATTCTCCTCCCCACACTGCTTTTTCTTGCTGCTTCCGTCTCCTTTCTCTTAGGCTCCAGAAGCCATGAGCTTGTGCACAGCAACCACGTGGTCCAGCCCGGCCCTCACTGGTGGGGCGCTACCCCACCCTGGTGTGACCTGCCTCCGGGGCCCTGACGGTCATGTCACCTGCTCAGAAGGCCCAGCTGCGGCCCGGCCTCTTTCCCAGACTCCTGTGATCTGGCGACTGGAGAGTGACTGTCGTTTGGATAACTAGGTGCCAATGGCCGGAGACTAGTTCAAATCCATTTCCTGACTTTGTCACGGAGAGGATGGCTCAAGTCATTAGGCAGCTGACACAGCAAGTCCGACGTTAATCTGAGCGGTTTGGACACCTCTTTAAAACCAGCTCTCGAAGACATTTGCTATTCAAGTCCCTATCAGTCAGAATTTCAAACCACCAGAATCTACTAGAAATAAGCATCTGGAAGAACCAAGCAATTGCCAACTTTATCTCAAATGTTCTTAGATTTAGAATCCTAATCTCTTGGAGACACAGAGTGAGATATTTCTAAAACAGATTTCCTTCTTAGACAATGAGTATCTATCTCCAGGCCTACAGTTTCCGTCCTGACGGCGTCTGCCTCACGGGAAGAGCAGTACTGAAAGCCACACCTTAGACAAAGCCCTGAAGAGTTAGAAATCATTTCTGTAACATCTCTACATCAAACTCCTGGGACTTAAAGTCTTCCCAGACCTGAGCTGAAGGGACTGTCGCTTGGACCCGGATAAGAAGCCAATGAGGGCCGGGCTCGCAGACTCCTCACCTCCCTGTGTGTCACCCGGCCTTTGAGGAAGACAGTGCCCACAGTGATCACCTGGGATTGTTCCTACTTGGGGCAGAGAGGAGCCCCGTCACCCAAGCCCTGCGGTGTTAACTGCAATGTTAAACAGCAGTGACCACGGTCTGAAATCATTGCCACGAAACTCCTCTGCGATTCCATAGGGAAAATGAGCAGAGACCTGAAACAACAGCATAGAGCTGGACAAATGCAGGAACTGTCCCCCAGTTACCCTGCCGAACTAACGGGACCCTGAGCTTGTCGGGTACACACCTCTTCCCCAGAGACTCAGCGTGTACCCAGTCCTGGAGGGGGAGCCCGGAAAGCCATGGCCTCATAGAGCAATGGAGAAGCAGGATCCCTGCCGAGCAGGGAGCCTGATGTGGGATTCGATCCCAGGACCCCGGGATCATGACCTGAGTTGAAGGCAGAGGCTTAGCTAACTGAGCCACCTGAGCGTCCCAAATAAATAAATCTTTTAAAAAAAAATCTTCTGAGAAATGATGATTACACTTCCCCACTTGACAAAGCCTAAGCTTGTAGTGACTTGCTCTACATCAGTAAAAAAGGGACTTCCGTCTGAAGCTTGGGTTCCTGCGGGCCAGCTGCCCAAGGTTCTTTCATCAGATTCGCTTCCCCATCGGGAGAAGGCACAGACTTCCGGCTCCCCAGGGCCGACTGTCCAACAGGTGAATGTCACCTGTGTCCTTAGCACTCGAGATGCTGCAGACCCCAGTACTGATTTTGGATTTGGATTTTATGGGGTATTGAAAAGGGAAAACATGTACGCTCGTGTGTCTGTCTCTGCCTCCCTGTTGCTCTGTTCCACACAGGCCTCCTCTGTGCTGTGAGAACCTGAGGTCACCCGAGGGGGACGACATGCTTTAGAAGACCAGCAGTCCTTCCCCAAAGATGTGCTCTGGGCACACTGTGCCTTAGGACCGGGTGTGCGCCTCCAGGGGTCAGCACTGCAGGGAGGGCTCAAGGAAGCCAAGAGAACGGCTGCAGAAAGGCTGGCAAGCCCCAACAGCTCCCATGCTGACAGGTACTAATTACCAGAGCAGCAACAAAGGCACGCATGTCCACAACCCAGGCCCACAGAGGGCATGACATTTGTTTTTAAAGGCGCCATAAGCAATGGAAGAAAAAAATTAAACAGGCCCACTCAGAGGTCCCCGCAGAAGTAACACAAGATGCCACCAAATTCAAACCAAGAATTCTCTCGGAAATGTTCTCTGGGGCAGGCTAGGGGGTTACTTCTCAACAGACACGTATGCTCCACAAGCGCCTTCGAGACTGAGTCTTGCCAACTAATACCTGTGAAAAATGCTGCGTGATCCATTCTCCTCCTGCCAGCTCCAACATGCTTGCAGGAAGGAAAACAAAGGGCTGAATGGATGGACTGTGGCCATGACCCTAACCTAGACAGAAGGGGAGAAACCCACTGTGGGGATAACCGGGGCAAGACAGTCTTTGTGGGATGGGCATAAAGCCTCAGAAAGAATGCCGGCCAAACTGATAACTGATAAGGTCCAACTTCACCACCACCCAACCGAGGAATTCAGGGAGGGTCAGCACTTTCTCACGGGAAGTTAGGCCAACTCTCCGAACTATCCGAAGAGACAGACTTCTGGTGCAGACTTCTGGTAGTTCCTAAGAGCCAGGGTAACAAAGTCAGGCAGGCGCCTGCTGCTGGAAGAGACCATCACAAGTCAATCCAGACTACTGGATTCCCAATGCTGGGAATCACCTGGGAAGCTTTACCAAAAACTGCCTGGCCCCATCCAAAGCCAAGCAGGTCAAAATCTCTGGGAGTGCGCCCCAGACAGCAGTTTTAAAAAGCCCATCAGGCGATTATATCCTGTAGCCAGAGTTCAGAGCTACTGGTGTAGACCTGGTGTTGGGAACCTTTTTCTGCAAAGGGCCAAACAGTAAATACTTATGGCGATGTGGGCCATACAGTCTCTGTCTCATCCTCAACTCTGATGCCGTAGCTACTATAGACAATAGGTAAGTGAGTGCATGTGGCTGTGTTCCAATAATGCTTTATTTATAAACAGCCAGAGTGGACAAGAGTCAGCCCAGAGGCCGTACAACATTTGCTGACCTGTGGATTAGACTATAATTGACCCTGCAAATGGTCACAGGCTTCATCCGAATGCATCCAGAAGCCAAAGGTTCTCAGGAAAACTGAACGATGAGCTCCAGAATGAAAGCTTCGGACACAACAAACGTATTCAGTAGAAAAGGCAAAGAGAAGACCACGTAACAATGCAGAAATCAGCGTATCTTCTTCTAGATGAGGAATCAGCTCACTATACGAAATAAACACATAGAACTGGGAGACAAATTTTGAAAATAAATTTAAAGAAAGAAAAAGACCTCCCTCTTTCCACCTCGATATATGAGCAAATGTTAACAAGTTAATGCAGTGCCCCCTCATTTTTCCTTCTCCTTCAGGGTGGGGGAATAACACCCATCAAGAAAAGTGTACAGAACAAGGACTTAATACAAAGCCAATACAAATGTGACCACCCAGGTCAAGAAACACAAAGGTCAGGAAGTACTTCAGTTTTCCGTTTTTGTAGTGATCCTGAAAGCTGCAATAAATTCCTTCACTACAACGGCTTTAATAAACCTCCTTTGCCAGCAACACAACACAAGACAACACGTGAAGAAAGTGCGAGAACACCACAAAGCGAGCTGCAGGGAAGTAGTGGGTGCGTGTCAGAGTGCATCCGCTCCCGAGAAGCTCTGTGCCCGTGCTCTACAGAGCAGAAAACTGGTCTGGGTACCGAGCAGCCGCCAGAAATACAGCAGAAAAGGGTTCTTGGTCTCGTGGGGACATGTATGCTCAAATCCAGCCAGCATCTGAATCTGCTTTGCTCAGGGACAAAAAAATGAAATAAAATAAAATAAAAAAAGGTCAAGGCGTGGATATTCTTAGATACCAGATGGCCCAATATTGACACAAAATCTTTTCTCCCCAGTGAATGGAGTTTTATTCTGGTGATTTCCATAACTCCGGGGAAAATCTGTGAAGGGTGTGGGAGAAATGCACATCCCTTCCTCCCACCCTCCCCCTTCTGCTCAGTATCAAAAATGGCTGTTTTATTTTTTTTAATTCTTTATTTATTTGACAGAGACAGAGATCACAAGTAGACAGGGAGGCAGACAGAGAGAGCGGGGGAAGCAGGCTCCCCACCAAGCAGAGAGCCCAATGTGGGGCTCGATCCCAGGACCCCGAGATCATGACCTGATCCGAAGGCAGAAGCTTAACCCACTGAGCCACCCATGCACCCCTAAAAATGGCTGTTTTAGTCCATTCCTCTGTTCACCATCACGGTCTTATTTTTCCCTACAATCAGCCGTTAGGGATAAATCGTGTCCCCGACATTTAGTATATACCAACAGCAGGTGCTCAGAAGTAGATAGTGCTCTGCCTTCCACTTGCCCCTTTTAGTTTCAAAACTGCCAGGTGACTTGTCCGTTTATAATAGATCTTTATTTCTGGATTACTCAAACAACGGGAAGGCAACATGTTTCAAAAACATGATTAGCTCTTAGGCGCTGCCTCTCCCATGTCTAGGACACAGTACAAGGCATCGAAGGCCACACATACAAACAGGCCTCGGTTCAAGGCCAAGTTCTACCATTTACTGGGTATGTGACCTTGAAGAAGTAACTTAGCCTTCCCGATTCCGTTTCTCACATGTACAGCAAAGACAGACGGCATCACGTACCTCAGAACGTTGCAATCCCAACAATGCAGAGATAATAACACTAGCCCCCTGAATCCTGGCTCTTTTCGCTTCAAGTCCTTGCCGATGAAGGAAGTAATGTGAACTGCATCCAAGGGTTATTCTGTTCCCAGTCCCGGAGCACGGAGGCGCCTCCCTGCTTTAGACAACTAGCCCTGACAGCAATCTGGGCTGAGGGAGACCCGTGCGGCCAGAAAGAACTCCTCTGAGTCATCTAACAGAGCTTTCCTCATCGTAATGGGTAGTTCAGGTTAAATGGCAAGCTGAAAGCTTGGTCGGAACCCCAGGGACAGACAGCAGCAACCTGGTAAAGCACTCAGAGTTAAGTCCTAGATTCCATTCAGAGTCTTTTCCCAGATGAGCCAATAGGCCCCAGCAAAATCCACCTGCGTCTCCCGCCCTTCATGAAAACAGGCAGGCCCAGTCTGGCCCCCGAGGCCACTCAGACAAGTGGATGCAGAGACTACGTCTACAGAGACCTCTAGGCTGGTTGGGATTCTGATGAGCGTGTCAGACTCTCAAGTCAACACCAGAGCCATGTTCACTGGCAAGAAACTTCCTGCCAAATTTTTCTGCTATGTCTTTCTCCCATTCCATTCTTAGAAAAACCAACGGAAGAGCCTTTGGAGACCTAACCAAACCCAATCAGGAGACAGATAAGGTCCCTAAAGGGTACTGGGAAGAAACATTCTATTAGGCTGACTCAACATGAGACTGTCAGTATTCAGTCCTTTTGAAGCTACAAAAATAACAACTTCATATGGTTCAAGCCAGCTTCTATCCAGGCACTTTCTAAAAGGCTCCAAATCCCTAACCATATGCTCTCAGAAAGTTATAAGCCACCACTACAGCTAGGGGTGAACTCGAGGTACCAAGTCCATGGGCTTCTAATCCCATAAGGCCCCTGAGAGAGACCAAATGCCGGGAGCTAAATCGTAGATTCCCAAAGACTGAAATCTTACATGTGTAGTTTCTGACTACAGCGGAATTCAATTAGAAATCAACATGACATCTTTAAAAAGTCCCAACAACTTACTTTTAAAGAACCCATGGCTCAAAAGAAAAACTACAAAGGACACGGGAAACCACTTTGAATTGACTGAAAAAATACCAACATTTGTGGCAGGTAGTTAAAGCTGCACTTAACGAAGAAGTCCTACCTTCAGAGGTTATGTGAGGAAGTAAGAAAGCCCGAAAATCCATGATCTAAGTTTCTACTTTATGAAGCTAGAAAAGGAATAACAGAGTAAAGCCAAACTAAGAAGCAGGAAGAAAATAATAAAGAAGAGAAATCAATAAAATAGAAACGGACAAGAAATGGGAAAAGAAAAAAAAAAACCAAAGCCACTTTATTATAAAGATAAATACGATCAATAAAAGTTTAGCTACACTGATTCAGAAAACAAACAAACAAACAAATTTTTAGTATCACGAATGAAAGACAGGACACCACCTCAGAGTGTCTAGATACTAAAAGAATGGTAAGGAAATTCTATAAACAACTTTATAAACTTGACAACTTAGATCAGCAGTCTGCAAATTCCCTGCAAGCCAAATCGGGCTTGTTACCTGTGTTTACACTTTGATCAGAGCAAACCACACACATCGGTTTATATATTGTCTGTCGCTACTTTTGCACTATGAAGACAGGTTGAGTAGTTGCCACTGAGACCATATGGCCCACAAAGCCTAAAGTATTTACTTTCTAAGCCTTGCTTTAAAAAAAAAAAAAAAGTTTACTGACTTTTGGATTAGATGAAATAGACAAATTCTTTGAAACACACAAATACCAAAATTGATTCAAGAAACAGAATATCTGAATAGCCCTGTATCTATTAAAGATATTGAATTTATAGTTACAAACATTCCCACAAGGAACTCAAGGTCCAGATGGCTTTTCTGGTGAATTCTATCAAGTTCTAGCAAATACCAATCCCACATAAACTCTTTCTGAAAAGAGAGGAGGAGGCAACACTTCCCAATTCATTCTGTGAGGCCTGATACAAGAATCAGAAAAGGACAGTGTAAGAAAAGAAACTGGAGATAAGAAACTAGCCTCTAAAAATTAGCACTGAGCTGACCACTGCACTCTGATGGACACTTAAACCAAAAACCACCAAAATCTAGCAGTTACGTATATTTGAAGAACAAGAGGTAAGATGACCTGGAAACAACATACCATTATACCCAAGTCCTGACCTTCTGTCAGGGCATGCTGACAGCAGAACACTCTTCCGTTCCTGTTACGGGGGACACGCACCCCTCTCCTCCCCACAGCTTGAAAGGCATATTCACCTTCAACAGCAGGTGCAAAAAAAAAAGACCTCTAGCCCTTCGGCCTTAACTCCATTCTGACTTGCAACACAGAGTAAACTAAAGCTCTGACCGTGTCTTTAATGCTCAAGGCTGTGTCACCAGAGCCAAATACCCGGCATGGTGGCAGTCATGTCCCAGGTAAGTCTGTCTGTGTCTCAAGTGGACCTAGGCCGTTGTAACACAGACCTAGCGGTAGCACCCCCACACATTCTTGCCAGGTTCAGTGGCACCCCCAACAGTCACGGCCCTGTGCACCTGTGGCGGGCTGTTCAGTGTGACAACTCTGCGGGGAGGGGACAGGCTCCAGCGGTGACTGGCTGCGTCCGTAACAAAACACTTGGGTTTCTGAGAGGGGAGCGTGTTCCTCCAACACCGGAGCACCCGCTGCTGCTTTAGAGGCCCGTACGCGGCAGCCTCTAAAACTGAGAGGGCCCCCTCCCTAAGAGTATGTGCTTAGACACCCCGGGAGTCGGCCTCGCCCGAGTCAAGCGTGGTGTGTGCGGGTGACCGAGAGGGGGCTGGGGCAGGGGGCTTCCGGCGTCACGCGGGAGCGCCCCGGGAGGCGTGGACTCACAGCTGGCGTGGGAGCGGCTGTCGTCCTCGCACAGCCTGTGCAGCTGCTGGTACTCCTCCTGCGCCAGCTCGAACCGCTGCTGCTTAATCTGGTAGATCTCCTTCTTGGCATTCAGCGCCTCCTGGGCCACGATCAAGTACTCCTTCAGCATCCGTTCCTGCTCGCGCCGCCACTGTTCGCGGGGGTCCTCGATCTGCGTGAGCTCTGCAACGGAAAGGGCGCACGTGAGCGGCTTCGAGTAAAACCCTCCCGCTGGCCGCCGGTCACGCAGCCCCGCGACGAGAAGACGCGGACGTCATTCACCGCCAGGACGCGCGCCGCGGGAGCATCTACGCCACGAAGCCTCCTCGAACGCGGGACGAACGCCTTCCGTCCGCACGGGCGCGGCTGAGAGGAGCAGGAGCCCCGACGGCCGTGCACACGCGGGCTGCAGCGGGGCCCAAGACACCACCACACAACCTCTCACACTGCGCGTGCACACGGGAGGACACGAAACCAAATGAGCTGGTCTCAGTCAAACTAGTGACTATTTCCAACCTTCTCACTGACTTCTGCGGCTCGGGATGCGCCCCCTCACCCAGGCTGCGCCCCTCGCCCTTGCCTCGGCACCGGGGCCTGCAGCCTGCCTGTGGCACCTGCCAACGTCCTCTCGTCCCACCTGTACACCTGCTCCTGCCCCCGTCCGGTTTTCTCACTCTGCAAGGGAGGCTCATGCCTCCCTCCAGCCCCAGGCTCTCTCCTGGGCTCCGGTTTTCCTCCCCACTGCCCCCTAGATGCGGCGCCACCTGGACGGACCCAGAGCGATTCTGAGTCGTTCATCCACAGCGGAACTCGTTCTCGCACAGTGTCCCTCTTCACCAAAACTGGAAGCACAGCAGTGACAGCGCCATCACGTGCTTCTCCTTCCGCCTCCCTTCTCGAAGCGAGCAGCAGCATCTGCATGTACCCGCTTAGCCCACCTGGGACTCATCCTCAGAGAATGCCTGCTCTTCTCCCTCACCCAGAACATTCCATATGGGTCATCAAAAACGGGTGATTCCTGGGACGCCTGGGTGGCTCAGTTGGTTGAGCGGCTGCCTTCGGCTCAGGTCATGATCCCAGTGTCCTGGGATCGAGTCCCACATCGGGCTCCTTGCTCATCAGGGAGCCTGCTTCTCCCTCTGCCTCTGCCTGCCATTCTGTCTGCCTGTGCTTGCTCTCTCTCCCTCTCTCTCTCTCTGACAAATAAATAAAAAAAATTTAAAAAAAAAAAAAAAAAAGGGTGATTCCTGCCCCTACATATAATAATGACTGGCGACATACCCTTCACTCCCGCTCCCCTAAGTTCACTCGGACCCGCAGGACCCCTCTCCAGAACCACACGGGCTTCCCGCCGCATCCCACCAAAGGCCATGCTCAGTGCACTCGCCAAGTTTGCCCTCGTAACTCTGCTCGCAATTCCTTAGCCCACGAGTGTCTTTTAAAGCAACAACCTCCACGTGACGTAGGAGTCCTGGAACTAGCTCACCAGCTTCAGTCCTTTCTGTCATTTCCCCAGGACAAGTTTTTCCAAAGTGCTGCTGCTTCTGTCCTCTTCTGCCCCCAGGGAAGCCCTACTGTCTTCCAAGTCCCTCTGTGAAAGCACCTCCTTTTTGAAGCCCCCTCGGCCGCCACAAGCAGGTATACCTATGCGATGGGGAGGACTGCAGCGCTCACCGCCGGGCACGTAACTACTCCCGTGTTTCTGTCTCCCCCCTACTAAACTCCCAAGCGCCTCAAAGACAGGCACACGGCCTCAGTCAGCGTTCCAGTCTCGGGACCTTTCAGTCACTGGAGAGCCAGAAGCAATCGGTAACTGTTGGCCGCAAGCTCACTGAATGCGGAACGGACGGGGCAGTCTGCTCCACAGGCAGGGGACTACGTGCCCGAAAGCTGGTCCTGACACTGAGGCGGCAGACTGAGCAAACGGGCCAGACAGCCAGACTCGGAGAAGGCTCCCTCCTGCACCGCGACTGAGCTCCTGCGGAGACTGCAACACAGGTGGTGCCTCCAGGAAGTAAAAACGGCGAAGCCGCGCGCGCTCCAAACAGAGAGCCCGGGCTACGGCGGCCGCTGCAACGGTGACGTGCGGGTAAATACATGCGGGCCGCAGGCAGCCCAGACGAAATTAGGGAGCGCTCAGAGACATGCTGGCACGATTCCCCCAGCCCAAACTGTAAATAAATGTGCAACACACTCTACGTTATTTAAATAACTCTACTAGAATTTAAATAAAATTTGGAAAGAGAGAAAGAAAGAAACATAATTCTTTTCAAATGTACCTGGGAGCTCTCCTTTGTTTGCTAGATGGGATGCTACCTCATTCACAAACCAGTTCCTAAAGCTGGTTAGGTCTTCACACGCACGCACGCGCGCACGCGCGCTCGTTAATTTACTTCCGTGCGCGGGACCAGCCCTTTAACAACAGCCAGAGGCGGACACCACCCCGACTCCAGCAGCCGGTGGGCGGATGGGGAAGGCGAGGCCTGCCCAGACGACGGCGGGGCGCTCCGCCACGACGGGGAATGAAGTCGCGCCTCACGCTACAACACGAAGAGCCTCACATGCATCGTACAGTGGAAGAAGTCGGACACCGAAGGCCACGTAGTGTATGATTCCGTCTCAACGAAATGTCCAGAAGAGGCAAATCCAGAGAGACAGAAAGGAGATTTCACGGCAGCCAGGGGCTGGGAGGCTGGAGGGGAGCGGGGAGTGACTGCTCATGGGTGCCAGGTTTGACTTCGGGGCGATGACATGTTCTGGAACCAGACATAGGTGGTGGGCGTACAACACAGAACACACCAAATGTCACCAAACTCCACACTTCAAAAGGCTTAATTTTACGTTCTGTAGATTTCACCTCAAAATGTTGAGAAAGGAATGTCATGTTTTCTTTACTACACACACACACACACACACACACACACACACACAAGTGCTTGCTACGGTGTTTCAAGGATGTCTTCCCTTGGAACCGCCTTCCGCCGACATCCCCTACCCCCTTCACGCTGCTACCCCAGGTCCGTACTGGAAAGCCCCTCCAGGCCTCCAAGGTCTCACCAGGAAATAAGAAACCAAATATAAAAACAGTCAGGGTCCTGAGCTAGCCCCAGTTCAAACTCCGTGGGCAGGGGCGGGGCAGAGTCACGGCTGTGGCCGCCGGAGTCGCTGCAATGGACGCAGCCCTGAGGCCCGCCGTGGCCCGCAGACGTGGCCTACACGCTGGCCAGCGCACCGGAGACTCTTGGGGGCCTCGAAGGTGGTCGCCCCAGCCCAGGGTCCCTCTGGTCGACCTGCACAGTTCCAGTTTAACGTCTGACTCCTCAGGGTCAGGCCTTCAGAGAGTTTTCAAGCTGTGCTATGAAGGCTTGGTTTCTCGGGAGCAAGTGCTCTGGAATGTGGTGTTTGGCCCCCACATAAATTTTATTACAACAATAACCTTTCTTGCCCCCCCCCAAAAAAAGAGAGAGAGAGGGAGTTGCGTTCTCTGATGTCTTTATCACCCACAGTGCTGAGTCATCCCGCTTATACTCAGTGGCTGGAACAAAGTCCTTGGTGATTACTCAGTTTTTGGGTTCACGGCCACGTCTAGAGTATTATGTGGAATCCTTGAGGGTAGACACTGGGTCTCACTTCCCTGGGTCCCCAGAGCCCAAAGAGTGGCCAGCACAGAGAGGCGCTCTGGAACATTCCCTGTTACAGCAAACAGGTGAGCAAGGAACGCCCGCAGCAAAGTGGTAGGTGCAGAGGGACGACTCTTGGTTTTACAAGCCAAAACGGTCCACGGCTTCAGTGGCAGGCAGAGTTTCCAGAAAGGCTGTGTAAGGCAGATGCCTCTGCCGTTCAGTACCACCACCCGGTCTCGGAGAGGCCGAAGCCTGGGGGTGAAGCCCCGGCACACGTGTGCCCAGGCCCGCAGGGCAGCAGCCGTCCCCCGCAGGAGCTGCCCACCGGCAGCCGGGAAGGGAGGCCCGGACAGCAAGATGCCTCGAACACACTCAGTCGTGAGGCATGAGGTCAGCTGGGCTAGGGAGGGCGGCCTCGGCGGGAGCCTCACTGAGCACCGCGCTCTGCCCAGTGGCTGGGGGATTTATCCAGAAGCCCTCCTGCCCCTTAGACAACTGCCTGGGAGGGCCGATGAGCCGGGGCGGTTCCTCTCCCCACTGCCCAGTCTTCGGGTCAGGGCCGCCATCAAGTGCAAGGCTGACCGCCGGTATCAGAAATCCCGCTGCCCCGGACGGAGAACGGAAGTCTTGCCATTCAGGTTTCTGAACGCTGACTCGGGAGGCTGGCTAGGAAGTGCCGATGCAGGTATCAGCCACAAAGACACCAACCTGGGTCGCCTGCACTGAGGGGACAGGAGGGCCCGTGGGACTGGCGTGAGGAAAGAGCTTCAGATCACTCACATGGCAGGCATTGTGCGGCCTCAGGCCCCCCAGCCTTCCCTGCACTGCATACACTGATGGACAGAAAGCGCACCGAGGGGAAGCCACGCTTCATGTCCCCGGGAGTGAAAAATGAAAATGACAGAAACACTGAGCATAGCTGGCATGAAAATGGGAATGAGTGCAAAAGCGGGAATCTGAGAGGGAAGGGAGCCCCCAGTGGGACCAGGAAGGCTGATGATGGGGCGGCAAGCCAAGAGGGAGGGGCAGAGAGCAGATCGGAGCCTGTGAACCGGGGTGCCAAGGTCGGCCCCATGGCCACTCGGGCGGCAGCTCATCTTCTGTGGCGGGCTGTCCCGAGCTGCATACGAAGTTCGGCAGCAGCCCAAGGCCCTGCCCACGAGATGCCATCAGCTCCTCTCCCGGACGTGACAACAGAAAATGCCTCCAGACGTTGCCAAGTGGTCCTGGGAAGCAAAAGCAGCCCTGGTCGAGAGCCACAGGTCTACCCAATTCTTCCAAGAAAGCCGGCGTGCTCAGGACCCACTGTATTATTTTAGCTGCAGTCTTTACCCAGCTTCCTCCCTTCACAAAGATCAAAAAGGGCTGGTATGTTAAAGTCGAAACTGAATATGTAAGACAAAATGAAGTTAAGGTAATCACTGGGGCATTTATTGTTCCAGGAACTCGTAAGCTCCGCTTTGCAATAAATAACCTTCTCATTATGAAAGATATTTCTATTTCTAGACCGCCTGGGAAACGTATTCCTTTTACTAGGCATTGAAACCCTCCACTAAACATATTCCATGCAGTCCTGGGCAACACATAGGTAAGGTGTCCCACAATGGCCTCACTTTTTGAAGAACCCCGCAAAGGACAACCTCAGTTTACGTTAGTAAAATCCAGCTTAGTGCTGCGGTGGGTAGTAACGACTGTCTCAGCCCTACAAAGAGAGTCTTAGCATCTTTGAGATCAACATGAAAACTCACTCACATATAACTCAAATGTGGGAGTCTACTTACTATTTATGTGGTCCATGTAATAAATTCCAATTTGTTTATCGTATACCGTCTCCCATCCTAAAGGAAGTTCATCTCCAACACAATCGGCAAAGGTCAATGGCTTTGTTATCCTGCAAAATAAAATCATGAGAGCCAATGTGAAAGGTCAATTTCATTAAGTTTGCTGAATCGACTCTAGAATTAGGTCTTAATACGAAATTAGATATTATCTCATCTAAGTGACTGCTTCTGCTCCAACTACTTAGTTGGGAAATTAATTCACTGGCTTTGCCTAAATAATACTCAGCAACAATATCAGTACACTTGCAGTTAAAAGCATTCCTATCTCAAAGTGCAACTTTAAATAGCAGCGAAAATAGATATGGACAGTTACAAAACAGGTAAAAGGAGCATCTTCTTCCAAGCAGTACGTTTAATGGGGTGACGATGTTAGAACCCTCCGCAACAGAATAGCCGTGGTTTGTTTTCATTCCGCATCACCCCCTACCCCTGGGTCTGTTTCCAGGCATGACAGCGTGAATCTATCTAAAACACTGGTGAGTTTCATCTACCAGAGGTCATCAGTTAAGGAGCTAATCATTAACCACTGACCAAAGACAAAAAGCCCAGCATGCCCGGCCCCCAGACAAGGAGGTACCAATTGGTCCTTAGACTGTAAGAGTCTGAGATCGCAAAGGATCCTTTTTGTTTTCTGGAGAAAAACAACAAAAGCACATTGTCTACAGACCTCTCCCTTTGAAGCAAACGTGACTAAGGAAACCTCTGCTTGACACAGATAAAGGGTTTCCAGATGGGTGTCTTTAGGGAGCACCTCTCCCTCCCCCACGTCCCACCATCACATTGATTGACAAGACAGCTGTTGTATAAAATAGGCCACGCCCTATAATTGTCTGAGTCTGGGCAGCTCTCTCCTCGGCTGTCTCTATAAATGCACACTGACCGGTATGCACGGGAATCTGACAACCTAAATTTCACTAACTCAGTCCTCCCCATCTTCTGTTCAAGTCCCCGGCCCCAGGAAAGCGAGATACGGCAACTACAGCCAAACCTCACAAGACCAGTATGAACGCGGAACATGTTATTTCCCCAAACTGGTTGGACAACCAGCCTCTGTCCCTCCCAGGAGCATTTAGAAGCCGGTAAACACCATCAGAATGGTGGAGATTGTAACTCGTCTTCAGTTTACACATGGTTTGAGGACATTAGAGTCAATAGCAAATCGGGAAAATGCCGAAGGTGAAACCTGCCGCAGATGGCCCGCCAGACACAGCGCACTCCGAACTGCACGACCTCACGCGATGAGGGCACCGCCCGCCGCCCACCCCATCCGCAACCCCACCGTCCGTGGCAGGAGTCCTCCTCGGGCTGTGAAGGGCACCGAGGGCAGCACAATCCAAGTCAAGCAGGTAACAGCAGGGTGTTGTGCGTGAGTCCAGTCCCGAAGGGGACCGAACCACAACAAGAACAGTGCTATTTTAAGATAAACGGAGTCCTGAGCACATCTCTGCTATTTAGAGTCACAGAGATTCTGCCATTCTAGAGTCACATAGAAGCTTCGAGGAAAAAAAATAATAAGCTTAGAGAAAAGAAAAGAACATTTTAAGCGTGTTCACACCTATGACCTCATCTCATCAGCAGAGGTGGGAAAGCTGACCTTCCTGCCCTACGGAGCCCAATTCACTTCGTCATTCAGAACTGTTACAAAATGATTTTGAGCTCCTATTTTCAATTTTTGATCCAATAAACAATGCAGGTAATTCTAGTAACACTTCCATACTTGGTGTTCCAAAAATAAACAAAAGGACACGTCTACTGTCTTGGTGAATTTAATTTTAATTTTTTTTAAAGCCTTTATTTATTTATTTGACAGACAGAGATCACAAGTAGGCAGAGAGGCAGGAGGGGGGAGGGCACGAAGCAGGCTCCCCCTCAGCAGACAGCCTGATGTGGGGCTCAATCCCAGGACCCTGAGATCATGACCTGAGCTGAAGGCAGAGGCTTTAACCCCCTGAGCCACCCAGGCGCCCCTCGGTGAATTTTATTTGGGCTCGATACAGAAGCTGTATGTCTCAGATTCTACTCTCTCCAGACAGAGCACGGAGTCTGCACAGTTACCCAGGAATCCGTACTACAAAGCCACCCGATGAGAAGGCACGGCTGTCACGGTCCAGCTCACACCAGAAGCAGGTCTCTACGCCCACAGAGAAGTTATCAAGTCCTTGCTGTTGGGCTCATAGAGCCGCAGGGCCCGACACTTTGAGCCCATCTACTCACCTGACAGTCGCCTCAACATGCTCAGCGATGAAGTAAGTGTTCCAGCTCCCAAAGGACAGAAGTGGAAAACAAGGAGGCAAATATAGGGATCGTTTGCGCAGGCCGAACGCAGCAAAGGGACCAGAGGACAGCGAGGAGAAGCACAAACACCCACTCCCCGGCTTCACCCATCACACAGTGAAACACGCACACCTGCCGCAGGACCCCGTGGCAACCGGCTCCGAAGAGGGCCCCCGGCGCTTCCGCCTCCTGTTCCTCACGGCCTCGTGTGCTCCCCTCCCCCGCTGAATAGGGTTGAGCCGTGTGACGCCCAAGATACTGTGGAAAGGACAGCACGTGGCCTCCGAGGCGGGAGTCATAAAAGACACTGTGCTTCCACCACGTTCTCTCAGATCGCCGGCTCGGGGGGAAACCAGCAGTCATGTTGGGAGCTCACACAAGCAGCCCCAGGAAGAGACCCCAGTGGAGAAGAAGGGAGGCCTCTTGCCAACAGCCAGCACCGAGCTGCCAGCCCCATGAGTAAACCACCTCGAGAACGGACCCACCAGCCCCAGTCAAGCCTTCAGATGACGGCAGCCGCCCCAGGCAGCATCTTGACCACGACGCCTCATGAGACCCAAGCAAGGCCCACCCAGATAAACTTCTCAATTCCTGCATGACAGAAATCATGTGCCCCTGTCATCTGAAGGCACCAGATGTCAGTAATTCATGGTGCAACAACAGGTAACCAATAAAATCCTAAGCTCTCACGTCCCTTCCGAGTCTACCAGATACTATAGTGGACATTGGTGCTGACAGCCCAGGCTGTCCTCTGTTAGGAGGCAGTGAAATGCAGAGAAGTTTTCTTCATCCTACTTGAGAACATTAGAAGGAACATCTTCTATCGCCCGTCCGATTCATCCATCAGATTCCAGAGAGCTGCAACCTCATTGCGCAGAGATACATTCTGGCATGACTTTCAGTCACAGCACTGAGAATGTCTACATTTACTGTCCCATGTCAATATTGTCCCATGTCTCACATGTTCCAACATGTTTACGGGACAAAGACTTCAGCACAGGCTACCACGAACATCTGCAACCGTACCAATATCAAAATGATGTTTTTCTCCCAAGAAAGGTGTTGGTGGGTAACATTGCTTCAGTGACAAGTAAATCCCTTCAGACGAGCTGTTCCAATTTCGAAGGTATCTGATTACACCGCTACAGTGACGACAGCTGAACAACTCTTGGTTCCCTTTTCATGGTGAGAAGGGCAAGGTCTGGGAGTCTGGAACAGTGGAGTTCTTTGGATATTAGTTTTTCAGCAAGGAGGGCTTTCTGGTTGTTGCTGGCTAAAAAGCAGGATTCCTGCATGTCAGGCTGTGGCTGGAAGCCGCCTGGACGAGATCCCATCCACAGCCAGAGACAACCAGGACCCTCAGCACGTGCTGGGCTTCCTCCTGGACGATCCTGTGACCCCTTGTGCTGCTAGTGGCCGTCCCTCCAGCTGGGAGGAGACATGGTAACCAAGGGCTCTTCCTCAAGAGCATGTGGCACAGCGCTGAGGGCCACGCGGCGCAAAGCCCAGGGCTGCTGTTCCAAGTCCTCCCCAAGGCAAGCCCGGGGTTCAGTCCCCACTCACAGGTATGCTGGCCCAAGTTCCTGAGTCCTCATCTCTCCAGAATTTTTTTTTTTAAGATTTTATTTATTTGAGAGAGAGCGAGAGCAAGAGAGAGAGAGAGAGAGTGAGCAAGCGCAGGGTGAGGGGCAGAGAGAGAAGCAGGCTCCCCACCGAGCAAGGAGCCTGAGGCGGGACTCGATCCCAGGACCCTGGGACTGTGACCTGAGCCAAAGGCAGAGGCTTCACCGACTGAACCACCCAGGTGCCCCTCTCCAGAAATCTGATGTTGGATTTTTTCCCAACTAACTTCTTCCCACACTCACATGCAACTCGGGCATTTCTGTTTCCACTACAGAGGGTTTAGGAACTACACCTACCGAGGAGAAAAATGTCCATTCATACCACTACTCAAATACAACCATTATTCCTATTTTGATGCATTCTCCTCCATCTTTTTCCTGTGTTCTTTTAATTTTTTTTCTGACATAATCATGATCACACAGTATATACAATGTTCTATCCTGTCTTTTCCACTTAACGTTGTAACACGTATACTGATTAATTCATACCTTGAGTCTCCTCCAAAATTACCAGAGATGGCCTAACACTATGGCCTAAATATTCTGCCTCCCTCATAAATTCTCTGTAAAGATCACCTGGAACAGTTAAATAGGTTAAGCTCCTTGAGAACAATTACCCTGTCTCAACTGCCTTTGAGCCCTAGGAGGTGATCTCGGAATAAGAGCTTGCGTTTTTACCAACAGCTTGCTAAGGGGATTGATAAAATTCAGCTAAGTGCTCTCCTATTGTTGACACACCTACATTACTTCCCAATCTCTGCTAATAAAAACATTCATAAGCACTGCTTTGGAAAACAGTGCAGCAATTTCTCAAAACAGTTCAACACTGGGGCGCCTGGGTGGCTCAGTCGGTTAAGCGTCTGCCTTCGGCTCAGGTCATGATCCCGGGATCCTGGGATAGAGCCCCCTGCATTGGGCTCTCTGCTCAGCAGGAAGTCTGACTCTCTCTCCCTCTGCCTCCAGCTCATGGTTTCTCTCTCTCGCTCTCTCTCTCAAATAAATAAAATATTAAGGGGAAAAAAAGAACAGTTAAACACTGAGTTTCCATATGACCCAGTATTTCTACAACTAGGTACATACCCAAGAGAAATGAAAACATATGTCCACACAGACGAAAGTCCGTACTGGCATTACTCACGACAGCCAAAAGGTGGAAAC